TGAAACAACAGAGCAGACAGACTTACATCAATAGCCTCGGGGATGTAGTTGTGGAGGATTGCCTTGATTTCTATCTGCTCTCCACGGACAGCAGCGTAGGGCAGTCTGAGGTCAATGAAGAAATTCTTCCGGACAATTACCTCTAATGGATCTCCAACACAGATTCCTTAAAAATTGGAGAAATAGAACAAGTCATGGCACAGGAAAAAAAGGTCTAAAGGAGGGAGGAGGTTTTAAATTAGACACACAACTAAAACACAAAACAAGTTATTGAATCCTCGCCTTGAGTTGCTGACAGACTGATGCCAATGAACTGCCAGGTTGTGATTGAGTCTTGTAACGGAACAGTTGTCACAAGTGATGTGGTGTCACTGAAACAACAAAAATTGTAACGACTTAGGAGGTAAATTGTGGTTTTAAATTCTAGTGCTGTCTTCAATGAAGTTATGACTGTATAATTTAAATTTTTGTTGGCTCACCAGTTCGGTTGGTGTGGAGAGCAAGCAGGCAGTTTGATATCCTGCCACAGCCAACTCTCTGGGAACTGGGTGCGAGATACAATTTCATTGCTGTCCATGAAACTGTTGTCATCTTCCTCACCTGAAGTGTCATTAAAAAGGTTACTGTTTCAATTCTATTAAAAATACCAGTATGATCCAATAAAAATGTCAGTATCAAAACTCAAGTATAAAGTTAAAAGACTTTTGGCTTAAGCCATGCAGTGTTCATTCTTAAATTTTTCTGTTTCAAAACAAATTTGGGAAAAAAAGCATCTTTTTTTTTTTTAAAACCAAAACGGGAAAACAGAAAGTCTAGGGTTTTTTTTTTTGTTTTGTTTGTGTGATGCAGGGAAATGTGACGGCTCCTCATTATAGATGCGCACAGAAGGTCCAGAGAATTTGTTAACCGAGAATATCTGGGTATCTAAACAAAATAAAAAACACCTTGGATTTTCTGTTTTCCCATTTTGGTTTTAAAACACAAAAGCAAAAAACAACACCTTTTTGTTTTTTGTTTTTTGTTTTGAAAGGGAAAAATGAAAGAACAAACGACACTGATTTGTCTTACACAGGTAACAGTATTGTGAAAGGCAGTGACACAAGATGCACAAAGAAGAGATTTGATATTTCATTTGGTAGTTTAGAGCTGTGGTTTTTACCTAAGCTGGTTGTGATATCCCTTATAGTCCTGGCTCGTTTCCTCCTGCTGGGGGCCGCACATTTCATCTCTGGAAACACAGCACAGACTAGATCTTTAAGAGAACCCAACAAAGTTGGACCTTCAACTGTTGCATTGTGCGTTATTATCAATTGCATGGTAGTCTATAATAGCACACCTTCTTTGTTTGACTGTCAAAACATTTGTCAGTGAAGCTGTAAAAACAGGTCCCAGAGAGAACCAAAAAGCCCAGAAAACACAGGCCGTAACAGTAGAGCTCGCCTCTGATGATCTGGCATCAGAAATGACCTTACAAAAGGTCTCTGCAGTTAGAAGTCCCACAAGAGGAGCAAGAATATTTACAAGAAATATGAGAAATGACTGCATTAGGAAAAAGTGATTTTACATTTAGAATCTAAATAAAAAGGTGGATAATGCATCACACAAAAAGGGAAGTAATACACACATCCCTACAAAAAGAGGAAGTGCAGGTAGTGTGTGTGTGACAGAGAAAAAAAATAAAGACTGAGTTTTATGAAAAAGTAAAAATGATGGTTTCATGCATAAAGTAAAAATTTGATTGATAATTAATGTTTAATCAATGATAATGTTTAGTCAAGTGTTCAAAATATAGTGATATATGTTTTGATTTGATTTGATTTTGATTTGATTTATTCTTTCAAGCATTTAAAACAGTTGATATAACAACACACATTTTTACACACAATCCAATATCAATTTGCTTATACCTAGTACATGCTTGAATGGAGTAGGAAGAAGTCAGACTTATCCAGTCCTACCCCATGACATCATCTTACCATCATTGGTTTGCAAGCAATAAATGATTCACTTCTATTCTCTTCTACACCACACAAGTAATATACTAAAGAATTAT